TCGGGCTTCATGGGTGCCCTCATGGGGTGCCTTGGCGTCTCTGTCGTGGCGCTGAGTTGGAGAGGCTCCACGGCCAGCAAGACCGGCCCCGACAAGGTCCAGAAGCGCTCGAGGCTCGCCAAGAAGATCGAGGACATGGCAATGGCTGGCAGCACTGGTGTTTGCCGCACTCAGATCTTCTTCTACTTCTTCTGCTTTGTCGCAATGGTCGGCCTGTGCGGCGTGACCTTCGAGGCCTTCGTCGTGAGGTACACTCGGGGGCGCGGCGCTGCTGGGAAGGCCCGGAGGCTTGTCGAGACGGGCCTCGCCGGCGCGGGAGCTTTGCGGCTGGGGCGGGTCGCCTCGCTCGAGCCATCCCGATCCGCCGCACAAGTCCGCGTGGCCGCCGCCGCGCTGCTCGTCGGCAGGGTGGCCGCGTCTGCCACGGATCCATCAGGTGAGCTCCTGCCGTCAGCGGCAGCTCTCTCACCGGAGCCACCACACCATGGCCGAAAGCTCTCTCACTGCGAAGCCAGTGGCCTCTGTGGCTACTGCTCCGCTTGCCCAACTTGCAGTGGCGTTGGCGGCAGCTGCTCCTCTTGCTGCCCTCAGCGCTCACCCCCACCGCCCTCTCCGACACCGCCTCTTCTACCCGACATGGTGCAGCTGGGCTGCGATTTCGAGGTCGACACTTGCATCTGGAACGACACCGCGCCGGACGGGTACACTTGGACGCGCACGAGCGGCGGCACGCCGTCTCCAGGCACAGGCCCGAGCGGCGACCACACCACTGGCTCGGGCTCCTACCTCTACACCAAGGCCTCTAGCATCTACAACAAGCTGCACCAGCTCGAGAGCCCGCGCTTCTCGCTCCAGCAGGACGCCACCCTCTCCTTCTTCTACCACATGTACGACTCCCACAGCTCGTACATGGGCACCCTCTCCGTCGAGACCTACAACAACGAGACGGGCTGGTCGACGCTCTGGAGCAGGAATGGCAACCAGGGCAATAGCTGGCTCGACGCGGCGGTCATCCTACCCGCCTCGACGACTCAGGTGCGCTTCAACGGTGAGACGGGGCCGAGCTGGAGCTCGGACATGGCGCTGGACGACGTCTCCTTCTCGCAAATTGCGCCTCCGTCGCCGCCGCCGTCGCTGCCGCCGCTCTCCCCCGGCTATGTCGCCGCGGCGAGCGAGGACCAGCTCCGCAACCTGATCGAGGACGCTACTTCAACTGCTGCCAACGTCTCCATCTACCTGCCGCCCGGTGCAGAGTTCAAGCTGAGCAGCCAGATCAGCTGCGGCTCCACCATCAAAGTGACCGTCGCCAGCAGCGGCGAGGGCGCGACGCTCGACGGCAAGGGAGAGACCAGGCTCTTTTACCTCTCGGGCGGCTGCAGCCTCACCCTGCGGGGGCTGACCCTCGTCAACGGGAGGGCGGTGGACGTCGGCGGCGTTGTGTTCGCGGACGGCGCAGGCGACGTCGAGATCATCGACTCGGTCGTGAGGGACTGCTCTGCTACCTATGTGCGCCGCGTAGAGCTAGCCGCCGGCCCTGCAGCGCCGCACGGCAGCGGGGCGAGTGATAGAGAGGACCACGGCTGCCTCACCCCGCTCTCTCCTCGCAACCGCAGGAGGGCGGCGTCGTCTGGACGCAGGACAGTGGTGCGGTCTCGATAACCAGCTCGACCGTGTCGGGCTGCTCGGCTCGCAATGTGCGCCGCGTAGAGCTGGCCGCCGGCCCTGCAGCGCCGCCACGGCAGCGGGGCGAGAGATAGAGAGGGCCACGGCTGCCTCACCCCGCTCTCTACTCGAAACCGCAGAACGGCGGCGTCGTCTACGCGTATGAGAACAGCGGTGCGGTCTCGATAATCGGCTCGACCGTGTCGAGCTGCTCTGCTTCTGTGCGCCGCGTAGAGCTAGCCGCACCCCTGCAGCGCCGCACGGCAGCGGGGCGAGTGATAGAGAGGGACACGGCTGCCTCACCCCGCTCTCTCCTCGCAACCGCAGTGGGGCGGCGTCGTCTGGGCGGGGTACAGCGGTGTGGTCTCGCTAATCGAGTCGGTCGTGAGGGACTGCTCGGCTGGCACTGTGCGCCGCGTAGAGCTAGCCGCACCCCTGCAGCGCTGCACTGGTGGCGAGAGGTGAAGAGGGGACACGGCTGCCTCATCCCGCTCTCTCCTCGCAACCGCAGGGCGGCGGCGTCGTCTACGCGGGGTACAGCGGTGTGGTCTCGCTAATCGAGTCGGTCGTGAGGGACTGCTCTGCTAATGTGCGCCGCGTAGAGCTAGCAGCCTCCCTGCAGCGCCGCACGGCAGCAGGGCGAGAGATGGAGGAGGGCCACGGCTGCCTCACCCCGCTCTCTCCTCGCAACCGCAGTGGGGCGGCGTCGTCTACGCGTCTCGCAGCGGTGCGGTCTCGATAAGCGGCTCGAGCGTGTCGGGCTGCTCGGCTGGCACTGTGCGCCGCGTAGAGCTAGCCGCCCAGTAGCGTCGCACGGCAGCGAGGCGAGAGGTAGAGAGGGCCGGCCTGCCTCACCCCGCTCTCTCCTCGCAACCGCAGTGGGGCGGCGTCGTCTACGCGTCTGACAGCGAGTCCCTCTCCATCGCGGGTGTCGACTTCATCAACAACTCGGCTTCAACAGGCTCGGTGCTGTACCTGCTAAACCACGAACAAACCTCCATCAGCAACGCCTCCTTCACTGGCAACGACGGTGTCACGATCCAGACTGTCAGCTCGGAGATAGACTGGGACTGCCGCTTGGGCAGCTGGATGCCGACCAAGGGCGCCTTTGAAGGCGACTTCAGTGTCCCCGAGTGCAACCCTTGCCCCGCTGGCTACTATGGGGCAAGGAGCGGCCTCACCAAACCCTCCTGCAGCGGCCAGTGCACCAGGGGCCACTTTTGCAAGGAGGGGACCGCCGACCCCGAGCCCTGCCCGGTCGGCACTCGCATGCCCGCCCTCGGCGCGGCGAGCAGCGAGAGCTGCATCCCGTGCGCTCCAGGCCAGCATCAGCCCCTCGCGGGAGAGGAGGAGTGCCTTCCTTGCGCAGCGGGCTCCTTCTCTCCCGACGTCGGCCTCGCCGCCTGCGACCCTTGCCCGCGCGGAGGCCATTGCGAGGAGGCGGGCGCCGCTACACGCATGGTCTGGGAGC